TCTTTGTTCTTTCACTGTTATGTTACTTTGTTAATTCATTAATTTCAACAATTTTTGAATTAACGAGAACAATACCTATTACTATTAATACTGACAATAAAGTATTAACCTCTCAAGAATTTCTAGAATATTAAAATATTATAATAAATATAGTAAAAGATATATTGATAAAAGCTCAAAATAGATAAAAAGTATACAAATTCATATTGCAAATTTGAAGAATTTGAAATTGATCAAAAAGTTCTTTTATCAATTTATTTTATTAATATATTTATTAATAAATAAAGATTAATAAGAAAGTTAAATGCTAAATATATTGAATTATTTAATATAATTAACAAAATTTTATCAGTTGCATACAAATTAGAATTCCTAAACAACATGAAAATATATCCAGTTTTTTATATTTTATTACTAAAATTATATAATAAAAATAATAAATTTAATAGATTAATATTATTACTAGCTATTATTATATTATATAATATGAAGTTAAAAATATTTTGGACAAATATATAATGAGAAAACAATCACAATATCTTATAAAATAAGCTAAAAATTATTTATATGACTCTACTTGGAAATTTTTGGATAATCTCAAAAATGTAATGAAAAAAGTTAAAGTTTTTGAAAAAGCATATTCTTAATACAATATGCATATTGTCTTTTAAGAAAAGAAATAATTGTAAAAATTTTCATATATTCTTGTAATTTTTTGTATATTATATTCATCATTTTTCATGTTATATTTATTATTTTTTGCATAACATGTTAGAAATTAATATAGATCTATATTTAATACTTTTTAATATTTCATCAAATATGTTAGATATAAAATATATATTATATTATTAATTTAGACACACTTTATTTTCTTTTTATTTATTCTTTTCTTTTTTATTTATTATTTTTAAATTCTTAATTACTTTTTATTATTATTTATATTTCATATATATCTAATTAAGTATAGTATAGCTTAAAGATATATCATCTTTAAGATTAATAATTTAGAATTAATCATTCTTTATTTTATTATTAATTTATTTGTAATTTATTAAATATTAATTATATATTTAAATGTCTTTTTTCTATACTATAGCTCTTTAGATTTTTTTATCATTTAATAAATAAAGAATAAACTTTATTAAAATTAAAACTAAAAACTATTTTAATTAATATAATTTATTTATAATAATTAATAAATTTATCTTAATATTTTTCATATAAGAAAATATTCTTACACAATTGATATCTTTTAATTTATTCAAAAAATTCTTTATTTATATAAAATATTTTTATAGTTAAGTTATTATAATATAAGATATATTATATATATTAAATAAATATGCTAAAGCAAATAATATTAATATATCTGAAAATTCTGCTATCTCTACAATTTATATTTAATCACATAATTAAAATTAAAAAATTAAAAATATTTCTGGATTATAATACCAAGTTGATTATATTAATAGCAAATCAAGTAATTAGTAAAATTTTATTGATTATGACTCTGTTCATATATTTTTGGTAATTATATTAATTTTCTAAATAATTTTTGTTTGTTCTAATTTACTGATCAGAATTTAAAGTATTTGATTTAAAATATTCAGATTTGTTAAAGATATCAATTAGAATTGATAATAATTTTTAGTCAGTCCTTTTGTATTAGCTTTTTTGATAATTTTGATCACTTTGATGACATTATTCTATGTTTTATTCAAATTTATATGAACTCATTTCCTAATTTCTGAATTAAGTTTTCATTTGTATATATAGATTTATCAAATAATAATTATCAAAATTAACTTTCTTTATGAGTTAGACAAATTGATTAGTGTATTCTTTTATGATTTCTTTTTGCTTTAGTACTTTCAATTTCTTTTATTATTGTTTTATTTTTCTGTTTATTCAAAATTTTGAGATGAATTAATACTTGAAATCATATTTGTTATAATTTTAATTTGTTCAATTATTTAGTTATAGATTATTATTAGTATTTCTTTAATTGAACCAGATGGTAACAGTTTCTAAATTTTTCTTTTATTAGTAATTTCATTAGTGTAGATGATAATTTCAAAATTGTAGAGTCACTTTATCAGATCTTGATTTTTATCTCAAATTTTTTTTTATCAAAATAAGAATTTTTTCTGGTTATCAGATTATTTCTACATTTATTATATTAATAAGTATTATTTAATGATTGGACTTGAATTAATTTATTTTGACTCAAGTCAAGTCGAGTTATAATTTTTCTAACTCAAAAAGTATTTGAGTCAGAATATAAGTCATAATATGAGTTAAAATCAGATAATTCAAGTCAAATAATTTATAGTGACTTACACATGAAATATAAAATTAACTTACTAGAATTTTTATTTTTATAACTATTAGTTCAAACAAAATAAAAAAGAATTTATTTAAAATCTTGAAATCATTAATATTTTTTAAAAATAATTTAGCAACAGATTATTTTGTGAAATAAAGTAATTTAAATTAAAATTTACAATTAGTAAATTTCTCATATTAAAAAACTTTTTTTATAATTTTTATAATAAATTCAAATTTGGATTACTAATTAAAAATATTCTATTTTATAAAATCTACTTATTTATCAATTTTTATAAAAATTGTCACAAAATTCACTGAGATTTGAGACTTTAAAGAACCTAATTTATGTTATAAGTAAAGAGGATCTCCTAAATTATTTTTGAAAAAAATGGTATTTTAGCAAATAATTCAGTTTTGCTATGTTACTTATATTAATGAATATTTAAAAATCACCTAAAAATGCTTGTTTTGATTTGTAGAATTCAAATAATTTCAGAAAACAATTTTGACTACTATTAAAATAAGTCAAAATAATTTAAGATTTAATTTCAGCAAGTTAATTTCAGCAAATTATTTAATTAGATAACATTATTTTGGTGATTATTCTTAGTTATGAGCATTAATTTATGTATTAATACTTCTAATATAAATTCAATCTTAGGATCTTAAATATTTATAAAATTAAGCTGATTTTTATGAAAATTGATAAATAGATAGATTTTATAAAATAGAACATTTTTAATTAGTAATCCAAATTTGAATCTGTTATAGAAAAAAAATTTTTCAATGTGAGAAATCTACTAATTGTAAATTTTAATTAAACCACTTTATTTCACAAAATAATCTGTTGCTAAATTATTTTTAAAAAATATTAATGATTTCAAGATTTCAAATAAACACTTATTTTGTTTGAACTAATAGTTATGAAAATAAAAATTCTAGTAAGTTAATTTTGTGTTTCTTTACATGTGTGAGTCATTGTATAACTCAAGTCAAACTTGACTCAAGTTAGAGTGATCACTCAAATATCACAAACTCAAGTCAGAAAAATTATAACTCAAGTCAAGTTTGACTCAAATCAACTCAAGTGTGAGTCCAATTTCTAGTGCTATTAAAACTTGAATAAGAGCATTTTTATTATTTCCATTTTGTTATTAACTTTTGATCTTGATAGTCATCTGTTTCAGAATTTTCTTCACTTTGTAGAATGATTCATTCGCAGCTTGCTTCATTACTAGTTTCTATATCCAATTTGTTTTACAAGCAGTTTGTTATAGTAATATTTCATTTGTTGTTGTACAAGTTTATTAAATTAGAATTCCACAGAGGGAGCACCAAGAATTGTTGTGGATGTTCGTAATTAGGTGTAATTAGTGATTTTACCTATAACAATTGAGAGTGAGAGAGTATATAGACTGATCTGTATTTGTTCGTTATCTAATTTCTGTGTTAAGATCTACAGATATTGTTGAATTTAGTAATATTAGAGAGGCTTTATGTTTAGATAAGAGAATTTGGACGAGTCAATTTTCTTTAATCTTAAGTGACGAGTTACTTATATTAACAATAATTGCTATTTCTAGACAAAAGTCTTAAACCATTCTACACAATGCATTTTATTATCAATCAATATGCCATTTAATCAATAACAGTACCTTTTCTGGATCAAAGGACCTAACCGTTAATCATTTCAATCTTTTAACAAGACTATATTACGGGTGAAAGAATTGTACACAATTAATTCTTTTATTGACGTCCACGAGGACTATATATACATTTTAGTTTTTACATCATAGAGTATTGCTTAAGATTTTATTACTATGTATACTATTGAAGAGAGAACTTTTTAAGAAAAAGGAAATAAAATAAAATCAATCAAAAGCGAAATCGTGATTACAATCAAGCGTGGGAAGCGAAACAATGAGAAATGGAAGACGAATTCATAAAAAAAGGGGAAATTGATGGCGAAGTCGAGAGCGAAAAATGTAAATAAAAAAATAGGCAGATGAAAGCGAAAAACGTGTATATAGATGAAAAATGAACTACTATTTTTGGAAGGAGGAAAACAGGAGTCGATTTAAAATAGAAAGGATGGATAATCGGAATGACTTGTTGGAATCGAGACGAACGGGCTCCTTCGGCACGAGATTAACGAAATTTGTTACACTTCGGTAACACTACAAATAAATCTTTACCTTACCCTGACCTTATAAATCATTAATCGGTTGCACACTCCCTGGCGGATTCGCTATTCGTTATCCTAATACATGTAGAATAAAAATTAAAATTAGCAAAAAATAACCAAGAGATTTTTATTTCACCAGTTCTATTAAAAGTTGATTTACTCCGTCAGCTCGTCCTCCTGTTATTTCTCCATTTATCGACAACGTTCTTTGGCGAATTCTTTTTTTCTTGGATCCCATTTCTTCATGGGAGGCGGCATTCCATCCGTTATCTTCCGTTCTTCCCATTTTCCACCAGTCTAATGTCGGTAGTAGTTGGTCCTCGTTCCTCAAGGGCAACGTTAGGTTTGACCAGTCCCTTTCCTTTTCCTGAACCCTCTGTCTTCTGCTAGATTTTTCTCTTCAAATCCTGCCATTCATCATCCTCCTAATAAATTGTTAGATATAATTAATGAAAAATAATATACTTCAACACAAGTTAAAAAAAATATTTACACCATATCCACTGCACCACATCATCAAGATCCTATTCCTCGTCGCTCGTCTCATAATAGGAAGTTCCGTACAAAAGGACATCCGGAATCTTCCCATCCTTGGTAAATTGAAGCTTTTCAGCCATGCGTTCATCAGCCAGCATGCTGAAAGCTTCAGCAATAAATGACTGCCATTCGCCATTTGTTGACTATGAAAGGATCTCCCAATTAATATAATGTGCGAGATATCGTAGACGTAATGCAGTACGGTGCATTTAATACTCTCGCATTTTTTTTGCCTGCATCGAAGCACCTACCATCCTTTCAGTTATATACTTGTGGATAGCGGCGCGTTGATTCTTGCGTCCCTTGACTGTTGATTGCGAGAGCGCAAGTGAGGCACATTCACAGTACAC